CAGTCGCCGTCGCAGTCGTCGTCGTACTCGTCGTGCTAGTAGGAGCGGTGGCAGTAGAAGTAGTAGTGTCACCAGCAGTAGCAGCAGCACCAGCAATAGCTGGAGGCAAGAGCAATCCTTTGAAGTAGTCGTGCATGGTCATCGTCGCACTAGTGATAGCGTCTGATTTAGTTGCAGTGAAGGGCTAGAGATCTGAAGCTCATCACGCCTTAACCCATAAGCCTGTGCTCAACCTCTCCAGTCTGATGGGAACTGCCGAGCCATCTTTTTGGGATTGTCTTGAACCCGAGTTCTTGCTTGAGATGATTCATGTCAGCGTGTCTAGAGGATCCTCGATCGGAAGGATGGCTTGGTGCCCTTTGCCCTGCAGAGGAACCGTTTGTAGCATGGGACAGCTTGGCAGTGATGGCTGGGACGAGTGCATGAGCGGGGTCCAAGTGTCGTGTTGGCATTTGGATCCCGTGAATGATCCTCACATCACAAAGTGTGTGAGGCCGTCGCATATGACGACCTTGGCACGTCCCTCCCACTGACATCTCGGCCAGTGATGAGACCGACAAGCGTGACTCATGTGCTCTCAGCCAGGCGAAGCCCAGCCGTTTTGGTTGATCGCTCTTCATTCGCCTTCCCGGCGGCTGGACTGACATCTGTGGCCCGTAAGGAAGCCTCCATCCCTGTTCGAAAACGTTTCCCAGCTGCATTTTAGGGCTGTTGCCTCGCTGGACATCCTGTCTCTTCTCATCGCCTCTCTTCTAGGCAGCAAGCAATCCCTGCTACGAGGAGCACCCCCAAAACAGGTTTATGTCCTGGCGAGTGATTTCAAGGCCTTAGAGCAGCTGGGTCTTTTTCGCAGGGCGGCGATGCTTTGCACCCAGAGACGCTGCGAGCCCAAAGCAGACTCAGCTCCTTCCATGGATCCTAGCTGAAACACGTAAACTAGCTCCGAACCTTTGGCTCTTCCGGGGTCCACTCGAAGGAGACGGGGGAAGCCCCAACACGAGGGACTGCGAGGCAAGGCCCGGGCCTCACGACCTCAGTGAAACTGCGTCACTCACTACTCATTCTCCAGGAGATGTTTCGCATGGTCCAATACGTCCATAGATTGTGCTCCTCCTCGTCGTGGGAGGAGGAGGAGCCGTATTTGTGGTAGTAGTAGTGGTGGTGGTA